AGCCTGCTGTGGGGGTGGGTTATGGGCTGAGGAAGAATACATTAACTTTTGAAAGAGGAATTCTTGTTTTATTTTTTGTTTAACATTGGGAGGTAGGGAGTTTTGTTTGACATTTTCACAGATTTCTCAGGGAATAATTTAAAGATCGAGTTGAAAATGATGACGCATATGGGTGTGTGTTGATTTGAATAAACTGAAGGGGAGATATGTGCTCCTGTGAGTGACAATCTAGTTTTCTTCTACTTGTCTTGGAAACAGAATTTGGTGCCATCAAAGATGATATTCAGCCAAAATAGAATCATTTCTTGTGGGCAAATTCTAAAATGATTTTGATTTGTAGAAAATCGACTGGTTTCTATATTACTATTCCTTTACAAATATGAATGCTGCTATTTTGTTAGCACAATAATATTACTGTCAATGGTGTTACTGCCTGTAACTCATCATTATGTGCTAAGATGTAAGGCTGTGTCAGACGTATTTTACATCCCCTTTCTCCATGACCTTTAATTCATTACATGAGAGCTGAGGACATCAACCAAAGCTAACTCAGCAGTGTAGTAAAGAAGCCTAGTTGTTCTCCTTCTCAGCCGCTTCCTCTGACTCTTGTGGGTCCCTCAGATGTGTTTCCAGGCCAGCCACACAGGATAGTTAATCATCCGAGCATGTTCTTTATCTTCCCCTGGTTTCTCCTTCCAGTTGGACCTGTCCAACAAAGCATGTCTGGATGAGAACCAGTGAACCACCTCAGCTGGCTCCTTGTTTAATGCAGAGATGGTTCTGCTGCGAGCTCTGTGCAGCTGTGATCTCCTCACCCTGTCGTCTAAGACTGAGCTCATGCAGTTATTAGAGACACAGCTATTTGATTTGAGAGCTTGTTTTCATACATAGATCATAGTGTTGTGTTCACAGTCAGCACCCTGTTTATTACAATAGTACAGTGTCTGGACAAGTACTGGCACAATACCAGTTATTGACATATGAAAAAATAAAACGGAATAGAGAAAATCATTTTTGGAACTGCTAGCCATGCTACTACAATCCCTGCCTCAGGCATTCTTTCTCTATTCATAGAGTACAGGGAAAAGTCACCTTACATGAGGACATATTGCCGACCTGCCCCATAAACAGCCACAAATACCACTCCTCTGGAAGTGACTCAGGCATCCAACTTCTCCATCCTCAGTTGTCAGTCAGAAACATAGCCACATCTTTCAATAGCTATAAGTCAGCCAGACAGCGCCAGCTAGGGCGTCATTTATGGGGAGGTGCAAGAGTTGTAACCACCCTAATAATCAATACAAGCCAGTAAAACCCCCACCTCAATAATCATACTGTCACTCTGAATTAAAAAAAAGGCTTTTAAAAAACATGATTAAGTGGTTGGTATTTTTGATTCTATTTAATTTGTAGTACCAACAAATATAACTTGTCACAAGCAAGTTGTTATCTGGCAATTATGACATATAAATAGATAAAATCATGCCATTTGACCTCAACCCCTCCAGTGTTCAACCCAACTATGATCTTGAGCTCTAACATCAGCCTGCAAGCTTTAACAACATCCAACGAGCTTCTTTGTATGGACCACACTCTTCATACGTTGCCATAATTTGGGAAAGGGAGGGGAATCAGCATGCACTGGCGTCCACATAAAACTAGTGAGGCTCACCCAGGTCTTCACCAATGTTTTCCACTCAAACTTCTGATAAGGACCCCGAGGGCATTTCCATTGGCTCTGTCCTTCCAAGAAGCGCAATCAAATTTAACACAGCTCACCTTTAGGCTGGGGCAAGAACTAATCAGTACTTTAACATAGTTTAATTTTCTTATGCTGGAGTTTCACAGGTTATGTTTATTTTTCATGCCTGAGTACTTGTGTCTTGGCTCTATGATAAATCTTTTATCTTATCCTCAGCTATTTTTGGTCAAATCCTTCTTTTTCAAATTACCTGCGACGTGGGGATTTGTTATCATGATATTCACCCACTTCATAATAAAACACACTGACATTGTGCTTGACCCTTTCTCCATCCTGTGAACGTGTCCCTTTGTTCTGAGCCTATCTGTAAAGGCTTTCATTGACCCAAGCTTTCAGTGTTACTTTTGTGATTTCTTGTCAGAGGTTTTTTAATACTTGAAGCAGGCAGACATCCATTTGTAAAGGTTACAGGTTAAATTATTTTATAATGAACATTTAAACAATCCACTAAAATGATGGCTGTTTGCTCTTCTGGAAGTGTCTTTCTCTTCTGGAGGTGTCTGGTTGTATGGTACATGTGGAAGAGCAATTATCTTTAAGCATTGTAAGCATCAGTAACATAGAACTGACAGGTTTCAGTTGTGTGTATTTGTGTTGACATCTTGCACAGATAGTATATTTCTAGTATGGTAAAATGGCCATGATATCATTATCACATTATTTGGTTGTTCTGGTGCTAAAGACTGATTCTCTAGGGATGTTCACCTTAACTGGTTCTGTATTTTAGGGGCTGGAAGCCTGTAATTGGTACTTAAAGAGACCAGGTCCTTCTCTGTACTCCGTGTTACTTGGACTCATCACTAGTGATGTTACATTCAAAAAATCGGATCTATTTCAATGGCGATTTGGTACAAACAAAGGGAACTGAGTCGACCTTGAGCTGTTTCTTTATTGGTGTACCCCAAATTTCCCTGCTTCCCTAATTCAGCTCCTCTTTCTTTGGAAAGTGAGAACCATTTAGTCACAAGAGGTGGTTGTATTTGTATAAGTGCCGAATGCCAAAATGGAGCAACATTTGGATTCATTTGACATCAAAGCACAGAGCAATACTTGCAAATGAAAGATACAATTTAAAACAGGGTCAACAAACAATCTTCACTGCTTCTTAAAAATGGTGTAATGGTGTAACGGCATCATTCAGTCAGTCAGGAACAGAGGTTCATCTCGACAGGGCTGGCCTCCAGCCACGAAGAACGAACGGAACAGAGCCATAAGATCCCTTTCAAGTAATTCCCATCTCTACTTAGCTCTTATACACAAGCACACACACACACACACACACACACACACACACACACACACACAGCAGACAGCAGGGCTGAGAAGCTGCAGAGGACGACGTGACACTGTGTGACAGGGCTTGACGCTTACTCTTTCCCAGGGAGCATGTGTGCTACAAAATTGAAAAATTAAGCAGCACATTAAGGACTTTATGGGCACAATGAACATTTATGAAATTCATGTTTTTTACTCTTCTTTTTAAAGGGATACAGGGAGACAGTTACAAGCACAATGATTCTATTTGGAATTTCTGATTTAATCTGTATTTATTAATGACGTCCCAATCATGTTTTCTTGTCCTGAAATGTTGGGTATCTGCTGATATCCAGAACTTTTTGAATTATTTGATTAAACAGCCTTTGTATCTGCCACATTGAAATAGCCTATCCTAACTCCTAATGATCACCCATGAAAATACACAGTTGACACTGTATGTAAATGTAGTGCCTTGCATAAGAGACCCAGAAGTCAGTTAGTAGCAGAAGGTTTAACATGTTGAATAACTACTAAAATATCTATAATATGCTAATACTTGGCATTTAAAGTATGCATTCGTCGTACATAACTCAGATATGGAGTATTGGAGAGGGCCCTTGAAAATAATGGAAAAAATCATCAGCTGTGTATGTCAGTGGAAGTCATGCAGAGGTAGAATAAACCTTAAATAGCATGTGTGTCTGCTGTGGCAGAAACTGCTACGTGTTTTGTTCAGCAGTGAAAGGCAGCGTTTACGATCGGTTGCTCTTTAAGGCTCATTTGAAATGACTGTAGGATTCATGCAGGAGTGTCCTTCTTATGCAGTGGTGTGTTAGTCTGGGACTTTGTACTAATTATCCATAGACTAAGGACAAAGTGAGAGAGATACTCTGTGTGTGTGTGGGTGTGTGTTAGTGGACAGGTGGGAAAGTTTGGGATACAAGAAAGTATAAGAGAAAGTTGTTTCATCTACTTTACATCAGACTTGTATTCGATCTTGTGATAATTGGTCTCGGAGTTCAGAAGGTGAGTCTAGTCAATACCCAAAAACCAATTCATGTGGCCTCTTGGACTTTTCAGACAATGACTCGTGTCACCGTTCAAGGTCTAAAGGCATCAATCTACTGATGCTGGAGATACTTCATTCACTTAAACTTGCTGAGCCATTAAAAGCTGATCATTGTTTGTCTTACACCTCACAGTATTCTCATATTATTATATCACAGATGGACTACCCCTTTGTCACTCTTCATTAAGATTCAAAGCCAAGTGTTTCAAAGGTTTCTGTTAAGCCAGTTTTACACTGATCAAAAAGCCCACTAACACCCACTATATATCTGGCTTTCGGACCCAGTCAGACCCACCACTCCTGAGTCAAATGACTCCGCAGTAGACGACAGTGACGGAAATATGAGACCCAGGTGAAAGTGCACATTTCTTCTTCCTCTTTATTCTGGCACTCTAGACACTGATAGGCACTTTTTCTGCACAAAGTTATGACATACATTGAACTCCCGAGCATTGCTACAAAAATAGCCATGAATATTTGTTTACTTGCTGGGTTTTTTTCCTTGGGGACAATGTGCAGCAGCATTTCTTTTCTTCTTTGTATTGTGAAAAATGCCATGGGGTAGAACTACTCCACTGCCGATGGGAAAAGAGTCAGTAGCATTTTTTTTAGCCGCCTTACCTGCATCCAAAAAACCTGCTATACATGCTGATTTCAGTGTGAAAGAGGTATTGGTGTAAAACTTCCAGTGGGATGGGCTTTGCAACGTTATGAGTGATGAGTGGTTTCAAACTGTCAGATGAGTAACATGGCAATGAGGGTAGCTACAGTTTGAGTGATTTGGACGACCAAATAAATGGGACCTCAGCTCGGAGGCTGACGCAGCTGCAACCAGTCAACCTCAACAAACACAGCCAAGAGTAACCTTTATTTAATTGAACCCCTAAACATTTTAATAATGTTGTTTTACAGGTGAACCTTTGGCAGGCAGGACTGCTGCAGGCATTCCTAGAGGGTACTGGAGCTTCTCCTGGGTGGCAGAAGATGACCTGAGCTTCCCAAATGACGCCCCGCACGTGTCAGGTGAGTTGGACATTGTCAGCCCAGCTCAGACAGATGGACAGGCCCTGACACCTCTGTCCTCCACAATCCTTTGCTTCCAATTGACCATGGCACCTGGCATCAGCTCTCTATCAGCACACATAAATGTCTCTGTCTCACATGTCCTCTGCCATCAACCAGGCAACTGTCACAAAAAACTGGGTTTTTCTATTTAATGCATTTCTAGACATGCATTTGGAAAAAAATATGAATGAATCCAGGATAACACATTTCAAATACTCAATATTTAAATGACTCAGAATAAAATAAAATAAAAACTAGAAGAGGACATTTCTAATGTATGGAGTGTGGTCTCAGACTTTGAGACCCCTCTGTGTCATGTTGTTGAATACATTGATATTACTTTGAAACTGTGATGTAAAAAATGGAAGGACATAACTCAGAAGTCTTTGAAGAGGACTACATTCTGATTAGTTTACCTTAAATTAATGTGAATAAGTAATTATTTAGAATGATTAATTAATTATTTCCAAAATTGTGGCTGGAGTTTCACAAAGCAATGGCAAATTATTAAACATTACTTTTGTTCTTTAAATCCTTCCAAATAATTCACGCATTAAAAAACCCCAAATTGAATACAATTATTTAACTGTAGTTTAAAAAGATAATAATTAAAGTATTCACTCCTCTGAGTAATGCAAGAACAGATTGTATATTAAATCAACTTTAAATCAACTCATAATCAGACAATTATTTATCTGATTTGTAAAAGACATATTTATGCTAAGACCAGACGTCTGTGAGGGTGGCTGCTGTGGCATTATTGAGTCACAGTTTAATAATCCGAACCACCTGTTTGTGAGGTTTGCCCCTTATTCACATGGATTCAGTTCTGGTTCAGTCTTAATTCAGCCATATTTTGCAAACAGAAATCAAGCTGCTATATTTTGGCTTTATTGTCCATGAGCTTAAAATGCATTTTTGGTGAAGAAGACAACATGACTTTAGTCTTCAGTCCACATCATCAACAAACAACACCATCTTCAAGTCCAACATAGACAAGTAGCTGTGCACAAATCTTTCTGAGTGTAAATGTAATGGTGGACACAACTTCAGCTTCACTTTATCCAACACTGAGCTAATGCATAGATTGTGACTCATCAGTGAACAGAAGATAAAAGTTATGTATGTTGTACAGTGGAGGGAAAAGGCCAATGGGCTCTGAAGCTGGCATGGCTGACTTGTGAAAAAGTGAAATCTGAAGACCAGAGCCCTCGGTATGAGTAAGCCCAGAAACACTAATGTGCATTTGTGTCACGTCACTGGGAGGCAGCAGCTCCAGCATGATTCTTTTCTTTCTTCTCCTTTCTAACCTCAGGGAGGGTGGCAGGTCATCCTGTAAATTATGATTCAAAGTCCCACATGCACCAAACTGTCACACTACTGTTTATGAAAGACATTCTTGTCTGTGAACGCCTGGGACCCTGCTCCAGCTGCCTGCGGCTGTGACAGCCTGCCGTGGACTAGGCCGTGATTGGTGTCAATTAGACAACTGATCACTCAACTGTTTTTGAGTGAATAAATCTGTCATGCACACAGCCGACTACATTTTTCTATTATTTCATTCGATGAGAGCTCTGACCTCTAGCATGTTCGCCAACCAGAGGATGAGTTTGTTCTCACCGCGCGTGATGTAGCTGGAGCAGGAAAGATCACATCTGGTTAGTGAAAGCCAGATGAATACAAATGCTCCAAATGACTAATAGCACAGTGATTACCATAATCTTGAAGACTTGTGGACCAAATGTTAAGAACTGATGTTGTTCATATATTTATTTAAGAAGCTGTTTAATGTTTTTAATCTAATGTTCATCATCATTATATATAATACACCAGGATAAATGCTGAAAATATGTATTATTAAGAACAAGTATTTAAAGAGTATTTAATCATAATATTTAATATATAATAAAACTAAAATAGAAGTGACAATGTCAGTGAATGAGTTTCAGAGCCATAGCAATATGGAGCATATTTGATTTATAGATGATAAATTGCATATACAAGGGTTTTTAAGACAGAGAGCTACTCGTGCCATTTAAAACTACATTATCAACCTTATCCTAAAAGACTGTTTCTCATCCAGTAAGAGAGAGAACCATACATATGCTGGATGTAAATCAACAGATTCCCATATTGCAGGGGCTTTTAGAGTTTGGATGGTGTGACATTATGTTCCACAGGAGAGCTTCAGAGGACAAAAAGAAAAAGATTTGGAAGAGGACAGGTCGCAACAACCTAGCGCGGTGAACATGGCTTTAGGCTGCAGTGATAGATCTCAGCTGTCCCAACAGCATCTGCTGTCCGCTGGCATTTATTACCTTCCATAAAAGCCAAAACAGACTGACTGGACACTTGCCACCAGCTGCCCCTACACTCTCCCTCCCTCATGCTTCTCCTCTTCCCTCAGCAGTCTTTAGCTGCTGGGGCTACAGGGGGTGCATAAGTCCTGTTTTGCATTTCAGTGCAGGTAACCAGAGTTCCATGCCACTGTTAGTCAGTAATGTCAGAGCCTCCTGACCCGAAATCTCTTCTGTCTACAGCTACACCATTGTCCTCCCTAAGGGAGTATATAGCAGCTGGGTAGTTTAGTTAAACCTTTCCTATTCGCCATCTTCACCTCATCTCAGTCCAGACCTTTTTACTCAACTAGATGGATAGTCCTGGTTCAGCTGTGGCTTCCAGCTGTACCACAGGCACTCAGATGGATGCTAGCCACTTGAGGAGTTGCCGTGCTGTACAATAGAACATCTGCCTCACTCAGCTGGTAGTGCTGTTTTTGTGTAATGAGACACAGCGGTGGAATAAAACATATTTGCAATGGCAGGAGGTATAAAAGATAGAGCAGCAGTGCAGGTGCTTAAATATGGCATCCTCCTAGAGACGCATCATTCAGCTCCACCAACCCCACCAGTGTGCACATTTTTCCATTTGCACAGCCTTTTAATGTTGTGGAGGACGTTTAAATCAAGGTCCAATTAGCATTTGTATGCTTGAGTGACTCATTTCAACAAATAAACAAAAAATGCACATTCAATTAGTTTTTAATATCTTTCACTATTCATTCACTGGATACCAAAAATATTTCAGATTTCAGAATGACACAAACGCCTAATGTATCGCAAATAAGAGTCACCAAAGACACAAGTACCGCCACAGAGGAAGAAGAGATCGTATACACCATTTCTCAATGTCTTACTTACATTCTTCAAACACCAAGGTGCCATTAACGTCACACATTGGGTTTTCCACTCAGGAGTAAACGACATATTATTGGATATTGATACTTTAAATATATCAGTAATAAAAATGATGAAAAATACAAAATAATGAAATTATTATCAATCTGCTTGAATCTAAGCTGCTCAAAAGAAGGAAATATTTTACAAAGAAATGTGGCACGAGCTCTTTTCCAGGTGGCAGTCAACTGCTGCATATACTGCTGAAATCATTAACTCACAGATGCCTTTGTAGTAGTTCATTTTTTTGTAGACGCTCTGGATTGTGGCACCAACTTTTTTTTAAATGCATTCCATACCAGGACATCTGTTTTGGATGGAAATTAAATTCAAACATTAATAGAATTTGCCCACAGTTTTTCTGTTGCTACTTAGAGAGACTCTAAGTTGTTATTGACTGAAATGCTCAGGAAGACTCCTGCTGTTTCAATGATTTTGAACATTTTTGAACACACTGTAAGTCAAAGAGCGTCTTTTGGTTTTGGCTTTTTCAGCATACCATCAATATCTCTAAGGCCTTAGAGGGTCCGTTATGAAGAATTTCTTCCGACCCCCTGCCAGCATGCCTCCTTTATAGTATTGAAGAGTGCAGGCTAAGGATAAAGGGAAGGAACAAGTTCACATCCGAATGATGAGTCAGACATTTGACTTTAATCCCTTAGAATCTAGAATCAGAAACTGGTGCCAGTTGAGCTAAAAAAAATGCTGATTAGCCAACAGTTATTATATAATATTATATAATAATATTGTTGTTACATAATATTCATGGACATTCATGGTCATTTTTGCTGTCAATAAACCACTCACGTTTAACCATGATCAAAACTATCCTTTATTTCAAACCCAGGGGAAACGGTATAATTGCTTAGCAGGATGGAAACACAACATCAACTCACATTGGGTATAGAAAATCAAGTTATGAAATTAGCAATTCCTATTTTTTTACCATCGCAATTTAATCTGAGTTTTATGTTTTCGATGATTTCTCTACAACACCTCTCATGCCTGCTGCTGTTTGTCAAAATGAACTTGCCACTCATCTATTCATCAGTGTATACTTGAAAAGACAGCTCCAGCCTTCTTTGAGAGGAAATGAATTCTCCAGGAATGTCTACTCCATAAAGAGTCGAATGGATACATAAATAAAATCAGCCAGACACAAACTCATTGTAATCAGGAAATAAACATATTCATCATCTCAGCTGAGGAGTTTCACAGGGACATTTATCAGCATAGGGTTTACTCTCCATCCACAAACAGATTTACATCGTAAGATCTAATTTACTCCTCATGAAAAACACACCCAGCTTCTTTATTTCAAAACACGTAAGCACATAGTTGTGCACTACTCTGAAGCGACTAGTTAATTTATACAGAAAATTAAGATGGCTGCAGTTGGTTGGCATGTCAAGGGCCTCGGGCTGCGTACCACGACACATCGCTCAATCTCTGCTCTGTTTGATGAATGAGGTCAGGGCCGAAGTGTGGCGCTAGGCTCATTAACCAATCACATGTCCTTATTAACACAGTCTGAACCACTGGCAACTGTCTCCAATTCTGCGCTTGACTTAAGGGGTTATCATTGACCAGTGTTTTTATAATGAATGAATTCCCTTTAATGCACCCAAGCACATCCATTGAATGGGACACTTTTTACAACCCTTGTTTACTGTGATCTATTGTCTTCGATTTAAATGTTATATGTAGTTAAGATTTTGAGTTATATGCAGACCCCATGATGCTTTATGACTTATTTATTGCATTGTATCTGAAGCAACACCCCCACCAATGTCCACCGTCTGTGGAATATTTAACAGATAGTGATGGGCCGTTTTACGCACAGGCAAGCTGAGCTGCAGAACTCAGACATATAAAAAATCACTTCTATTGTAATCTCCACATATCTATCAATAGCCCACCCCCAAATGTTTAGTTCCCTTACCTTTATTTGCCATCACAATCTTCTCCCACCAGCTGCAGATCTTGCACAGAGCACCCTACACCTCGATGGTCTTGTGTATTGTATTATTAAGTTAATATCAGACATCAAGGTGGTGTAATCTAGAATAGAGATATTCCATCTTTTTTATAATTTTGAAGTGCACCAGGATAACGGATATATACACTTAAGTATTTACAAAAAATGAATATCTACACAGGGATGATTAATCAGCGTAATCTGCTTAATTACTTGCCTCTTAATGCTGAGGAGGAAAAGACTGGATAATCTTTTAATGCACAAGTACACTTTACACACTGCATGTGTATAATAATGTGTGTCCGGGTGTGTTCATATCGGAGCATTGGCGTCCCTCCTGTTGTCGTTCCCCACGTTAAATAATAAATATGGCTCTAGCTTTGATTAGCAGTGATTAAAAGCCTCATTTACCACATTTTTACATCTCACACAGAGGCTCAGACACTGACAGGATCACAACCTGCAGCTGAGGCACACTGGATCCAGCATTGTTGCGAGCTGGATTGTTTTTCTGTTATATTTCCTACAAACATAGTAACTATATTCAATTATGCTTCTGTTTCTGTTTTTAGGAGCCACTTAGACTCAGCAATTTAACACCCGTAGACTCTTGCTGAGAGCTCACAGGAAGTGTTGAGCTGTCGCTGGCTGATTATTTATTTTCCTTCAAGATTCTGTGAGACATCTAATAGCTGTGAATATCCTATAAAGCATTTCAATGAGGCTGGGGGCCTGTTGAACTAGGGCTAGAGTTATTGAGTAATAGATTTAAACAGTGATGATTACAATCAATAGTGGGTTACATCACTGATACTTTCAGATGAGATGACATAAAATTAACAGTGTTGATTTGAGAAGAAATGAATTAAAGCTTGAAATAGGATCTGACTGCATAGAAACTACTGACATGTTCCTAATACATTATTGTATTGTTATTCAACTAAATAGAAAATATAATCACCACTTTTTAACGAACACTACATTTATTAACAGCAGTGGAGTCCCTAATTCCCACATAATGTACAGATCAATATATAATATTTTAAGGCCAACATTATTTATGTTTTATTTTTTATTTTCTGAAGTCTCTGATGGAATCATGAAACAAATCACATAACACAACTCATTGAAGCACTCATCATATTGTGCATCATATCCTATTATAGCCCTATTATATTATACTTACAGTGTTGAAGGTTGCCTGATGCCACAAGTAGGTTTTCTGAAATGGAAACAGGCACAAATTCTTCATTCTGAGATATTGTAGTTTCACAGTCAGCGTCTTATTTGATTTCAAACAGTGTTTCCAGTAATAATTCTGTACTTGGGGATAAATCAAATATTAAAACAAACATTTTACCAGAGAGCATGTTTGCCATGACTTGCTCCTAATTAACAGCTCTCCATCACAACATTAGGGGGAATCAAAGACACCTTCTGACAAGGAGAAAATGCAAACTGTGTGGGAAATATTTTCATGGTGGCTGCTCTGATTGTAGCTTTGATTAAATTGTGCTATAGTGTAATCAAACGTTAAATGGACCCATACTTAGCAATGCCCAAAAAGGATATTATTGCCTTGAAAAAACTCAAAATGTGGATGAATGGGCTGTAAAGCTATGTCCCTGGTCATTAGCGAGTCATCACTTCTTAGTCACTTTGCACATGCAGCAGGTGGGAGAAATTGGATGACAGATCCAGATCTTGCGCCTCGCCGTTGAATCACAGGCAATCTCTCATCCACATTTGGCAGCACACATAAGTGCTTAGCTCGTCAGTGGGCCAAGTGTGTTTCTGAGAGCATGAATATTACCATAATATCCGATGGTGGAAAAATGTGAGGAGACAGCTCTTAAACTTGTGGCTATGTTAGTTTCTGTCAGTTTGTAAAGTAAGCAAATGCATGTAATCAGTTTTTGAAAAATATTGCCAAACATATGCAGGCCTCAACACTGACACATTTGGTTTCGAGCAGAGTTCTGTCACATATTTTGGGCACCGAATTTGTTACAGATTATAAAACAGCCAAGAAGACACACATTTTTTTTTTTGATGGCATCTGTTGCCCATATGTCAGTTCACAGTGTACGATATGTGGATTGACACTAAGTAAGTAGTTGTTAAAAGCTGCATGGATATCAGCAGCCACTGGTGATCATTTCGTCATATCCTGGTGAATGCTTTAATCCTTGCAAATTTGAACTGAAAGTCAATGTGTTTTGTTTGCATTTATGTATATGAGTTGGAACAACTGTGCTGATGTCAGCTCAGTGCAACTACAAAGCCTCGTGCAGTCGAACAAACAGCATCATTCCACTCTAGCTTCATAGACATTTATTGAAGGAAAGGAAATTAGCTTTCACCACAACCTTGAACTTATCAATTCCTCCACATCTCATCAGCCCTCAGGGTTCCCAGTGGCAATGAGCTACAAGAATCAATGTTTTTTACTAAATGACAAGTTTTAAGCATGGGAACCATTACGCTCACTGGCACTTAGTGGTTGGGAGCGACTGCTGCTTGGATTCTGCTAAAGGCAGCTGCCTCCTCAAGCGGAAACCCTTGTTATTTAAATACAGCCTAATGCTAAGTAGATGCCACCCCATTAAATAAAACTCATCTTAAGTATTTAATAAGTTTAGCGACTTCGAAGTTATGATATATAATATAGTTAAATAGTGTCGCTTGAACTGCTCTCTGTTAATAGAAAGAGATATTTGATAATGGGTGCGATGCCGGTGCGTGGCTTTGTGCTGTCACCTCACAGCAGCTGCAGCAGCAGTAACAGCTGGTTCAAATGGATCTGAACAACTCAATAAATACAGACACAAATTGGCGCAAAATACTGAAGGGTTGAGTAAAATATGGGGACGGAAGAACAAACAAAAACAACTAAGAGACAGTTGTGACAAGTAGTAAAATCAGCTTCTTCTTGGATTCTGCTAAAAGCAACTTGCCTCCTCAAGCGGACAGCCTTGTAATCTCAGACATTGCTTACCCAATCAATACAATTAACATTAATATATCTATGTGATCATAGCAGGCTATCAACTACCAAAATATTAGCTACAATCACTGATTACTGTAGTCTTAGTGGCTATAATTTTTAAAAAAAACACAGTGTTGTATACACAACCACTTTAGTTCTTCTCCTCCAGAGCCCAGTGTGAAAAGTCATTTGAAAGTAACCATGCCCTCCTAACAGTGATTGTGCCTAGCCACAGGGATGTGTCTTCATGAAGTCTGTCCACAGGGAGGGAAGGACAGATCGTGCTAAAGATGGAGACAGACTGAGGATGAGTGGGAGGAGAGCTGACCCTTAATTTACTCTCTGAGCAAATTCTTAGGGAGGATTTGTTTAGTTTTGCAGCAGCAGTACATTCACTGTGCATCTGTATAACCCTCTTCACTCTACTCTGTAAGAAAAAGTGCACTCTGCACCAACACTTACTTTGGGGTCTGACCTAACATGATGTGTTGCAACCAAGTGAAGCCACTACATGTTAAAAATACAAAATATCTAACTGACAACATTCTTCCTCTATTTGATAGCTTCTCTATCTGGCCGTTAAAGCTGTGGTCATTCCATACTGAAACTGTACTGTACATGAGGCAGTATTGGATTTTGGCCCTGTCCCAATCCCTGTCCCTACCCCCTTGATATGAAGTTCACTGGAAGTGTCCCCCTCCAAACGGAGCCACAATGGAGAGGGCTAAAAAATCTTCCACTAGGAATTGGGACACCACTCGCTACATCAGCAGCAGCATACCAACGTGACAAACATCCAACAGTGACAAACAATATCAACTAACATTTTTATATTAACAACCAACGGGACAGATTGATCTGTTGATCAATACAGAGTCAGTCAGTACGTTTACATCGGTTATTTCAATGTAACATTAGTCCTGTCCATAGAAACCTCCGCCCTGCACTGAAAACATTATAACATGAGCAGGGTTTTTTTTCAAACATATCAGATATCACTCAGACTGTATACAGGCTTGTTTTGATGGTGTGAATAGAGATATTCCTGAAACGCTTGTAGCAGCAATTCAATTGGATTAAACAAAGACATTCCGCTGGGTTCATCTCTTGATACTCATTCATCTTCATCATGACCTTTGTG